TACAAACTGAAAATAAAATTACGTATCCCACAGGCTTTCTATTTTACTGGGTTCATTCTGCATGCATTTTCTCTGTACTTAATATTTAGAAAAATCTTTATGGTTCTACTTATTGTAATGGTTCAATTTCACATAATTCTTAAGTGTTTTAGTGTATCTGCATAGGTAGATATATAGTTGCAAGAAACTGTAACTATAACACAAAGTTATTGTAGAGAAGAGATTTAAGAGAAGGTTATGACATTTATAATTCCTGTACAATAAGACTACATGCTTAAGGCTGAAGATAGTATGTTTGCTGGTGTAATCCACTAAGTTCTTCAGAAAATTAGAATAATGAGTAATTTTCAAATAAATGAGGTCAGAAGTGAGATTAAATTGAGGTTGGAGTAGTTGTTTTTCCTAACAATGTAGACCTAAATTCTAGAACAACTTTGTAGCTCAGTCATCTAATGATAAATGGGGAAGCTTGTTTGTATTACTAGTAACAACATGTCAGTAATGACACCTAGCTCTGAGAACAGTTTTGGCACAATAACAGAAGTATTATATAACCTATCATTGGGTTGGCAGTGGTCAAGTAAAACTGATCTCACCTTTTATTGTTACCTTCAAGGTCAAATTCAAGAGGCCACCCTAGTTTATGAGTCAGTTTTAAATGCCTTCATTTTTATTTTTTGTCTTGGCAAATAGAACAAAAGTATTTAAATTGATTCTTGAATCAAGATGATTAGCTCTTCTCTGGTCAAAGTCAGTGAGAATCATAATGGTATTGCAGATGTAAACATACTAAACATATCAAGAAGAGATGCTGTCACTAAAATATTATAGTCTCAGAGCATTCCCCCTTTTTTTTGAAAATAGTGTTTGTTAGGCCTCATATTACTTGAAGAAAAAAACATTTAGAAAACAGGTAGAATTATTATTGGGAGAAAAATCAAGGCTTGGGTTTATAAACGAAGTATTAAAAAGTACTTAAATCATTTTCCATAAATTTTTGTATGCTTTTCCAGCTGGATGCTGGTGGGTGACGCCTATATTCTTAGCTACTCAGAGGTTGAGATCTGAGGATTGCAGTTTGAAATCAGCCCAGGCACAAAAGTCTGGGACTCTTATCTCCAATTGCCCACCAAAAAGCTGCAAGTGGAACTATAGTTCAAGTAGTAGAGTTTTAGCCTTGAGAAAAAAGCTCAGGGGCAGCCTGATTTTAAGCCCCAGGACTGGCAATACATCTCTCCCCACCCCCACACATAGAGCACATTTTTCTTGGTGGCAAAAGGATGAAAATTAGTAACTTCTAGAATTTAGAATATAGCATCAGATTGTTAGTATAGAGAATTTGTCAAGCAAGATGAGAAGGCATAAAATGTTACACACAATTATCAATATAGAAACTACTATAGTAAAAAGTGTAATTTTTTGTTGCCTTGACATCACAGCTTTCTCTTACAGTGCTTTCTGCAAGAAATTTGAATTACTACTTTTGGCAGTTGAAGTGTATGTTAATGGTAGAAGTTATGAGCTGAATTTTCTGATTTCCAAAATAAAATGCTGTGATGACTAGAGTGAAAAACTAATGGATCCTGTGTCTACCTAGAAGACAAAATGTCAATTTGTATATGATTGTTATTTTGAGGGTATAGAAAGTTATAAAAATTCCTACTAAACATTTAAAATTCTTTCAAAGAGTTCCTTGCAGCAATCCTCCCCCTACTTGAAAGCTTTAATCATTCACATCAGCAAGATTACTGCTATTCTAGAATAAGTCTTCCACCCACTGCCTGCAGAAAATTTTCATAGTCTACAAATACCTATCTGAAGATGTGATATACTGAATAGAAATGGATATACAGTAGTCCCCAGTGGAGTCATGAAACCACAAGTAAGACTGAATTATATATACACACATACACAGAATTTTCCTACACATACCTATAATGAAGTTTATAAATTAGGTGAAGTAAGAAATTATTATAGACAACTTATATTGCAATAAAAGTTGTATGAATGTGGTGTCTCTCAACACTGCTGTACTGTGTGGTTGGCTTTGAGTACTGAAACCAAATAAAACCACAGGTATGGGGACCACTAAATATAAGGCATGGCTTAGTATTCATTTATTGTATTTAGTTAAAAATTTACTCAAATAAATGTGAATTAGGAGAAAAATGAGTTTTATTAACCTTGTTCCTTACCTGGCTCATAGTTTTCCCATAATGTTTTCTGTGACAACACCATAAAGAAAGTATACTAGTAGGGTGCTGGTGGCTCACTCCTGTAATCCTAGCTATTCAGGAGGCTGAGATATAGGATTGCTGTTCAAAGTCAGCCCAGGCGGGAAAGTCCATGAGACTATCTCCAATTAACCACTAGGAGACTGAAAGTGGAGCAGTGGCTCAAAAATGGTAGAGAACTAGCCTTGAGAAAAAAAGCTCAGGGACAGCACCCAGGCTCTGAGTTCAAGCCTCACCAGAAACCAATAAAAACAATAAAGAGATCCTACCATCCAGTTCTTTTATCATTGTCCCCGCTTTCTAGCATGCACACTGCATTACAAAGAAGTCTCGTAGGACCCAAGATAGTGGATTATATACCTCTGTCTCTAGTTTATTCTGTACCTTCTGTTTTAAGGAGAAAAAATTTAATTTAAAGCACCTACTTCTGGGGTTTGAGATATAGCTCTGTGGTCAAGTGGGTGTTTAGCATGTGCAAGGACCAAGATTTAATCCAATGCACCAAAAATATTTCTAGAAGATGTTTTTGTTAATGGTATCCTACATCTATATCTATCTATAATGATGGTATTTAGTAAAACAGGTACCATTTAGATCTTTGGCTGTCAAATTTTACAGGTCTATGCAGCATGAAAGGAAAATACATTTGAAAATGGTCTTGATGGTAATGTTAACTCTTAAAATTTCTAATAACATGTACCTCACAAAGAATAGAGAACAAGATGGATGAATAGAGGTGCCCAGCACTTAACTTCTTCACAAAGAAAAATCAAAGTGACGGGTGTACAGCAGCATTTTGAAATGACTATAGAATATTAGAATCAGCAAGAGATTAGAACTTTGTGAGATTCAGAGACCTGGGATAAGGGCCCAGAAAAACAAAATACCGCAGCATCTGCCTCATCCCCAGCAGGGGAAAGGGTAGACTTGCCTTTTCAGGGATATGATGAAAGAGTCTTAGCAAACTCCCATCAGTGCTGTTGTCCACTATTCTTGTAGCTCCCTTAGGTAAATAATGAAATCGGTATAGCAGACATGCTTTGGAAAAGGTCTGTCATTTCCCAGCAACCCCCAGCCCCACTCCAGGGTATTGTAGACAGGAGTTACCTAGAGAAGGGTGATACTGTCAGAATTTAGATAGAATTCTTTTTTTCCCCCCAAATTCTTTATTGTGATTAAGTGATTACATAATTTCACAGTATTGTGGGATAGTAATACTTAGTTAAAGTCACAAACACATTCTAACTTTCATGGAGGATCGACATAATCCCCTGTATTCTGTCCAACCATAGTGGAATCAAGCTAATTCTCAATAACGAAGCATTCAGTAGAAAT